TAACTTAGTCTGAAATGTTTAAAATAACAACTCTAGATGAAATATTCATAGGTGACAGTTTGGCAAGAAACTGGTCAGTTTTGTCTCTATGTCACCTTTAAATAATGCATAATAAACAATTATTAATAATTTATAATGTGTTTATAGAGGAATTAATAACATATCTATAAACTATCAATTATCCATCTATAAGGGGAGTCTTATTGTAAAGTGGTACCTTTCTTTTTCCTTACTTCTCACAGGTAGAACACTTTTTCCTTAACTTGTAGATTACCAGTATTCAGGACGTGAATGGATCTAAAGACTGTGAATACTTTCTCTTTAATACTTTGTTTATTCTGTTCAAATAAAAAAAACAAATAAAAAAAAAACAAGTGAGCATTCTATGTTTTAACTTCATGTAATAAACTGTAAATCTGTTTTGTGTAATTTTACTCCTTCCTTGTAGCATTAATAGCATGATGTCCGTCCCAGTTTGTTCCCACCAGGTGTTTGGTTAGAGGCCAAACATGGCCGGACGTGCGATGGAAACATGCCGAGGGATGGTAAATGTCTCACTCTGGCTCGGACAGGCAGCTGTTGAAATGTACTTGAGGTTAGTAGAGAAAGTTTCAAGACAAATCCCAGACATGTATCATTAAATGTATCTAGGACTGAAAAACTGCCCCAAGTCTCTCGGGAGTTGTCTTTCCTCGCCTGTAATCGGCATTTGGTTTTATTTTAACGCTGCAGTGGCATGTAGAGCAAATTAACTGGAATCCAGCTGTTATTGAAAACATGTGTCACAGAAATGGACAGATCAATAAGCCTATTAGTTAATAAATGTAAAAAAAAAAAAGATGACTCATAGGAATTTAAAGATATGACAACAAAAATACCCAAACATAAGACTTGAACAAGGGAATAACATTTTTTATCCTAAATCTTTATGAAACAAGTTGACACATAGTTCAGAAAGAAAATGTGATGATTCTCTCCTTTGGTGTTAGATTTAAATATTGAGATTTGTAGTTAAACTTAAGCTTTTTTGGGGGGATAATCCATGTTAGATTAAAGCCCAAGTACTCCTTGAAGGAATGCATATTGCCTGCTGCTTCTCACGCCAGAGATTTGGACTAAAAATATTGAGAAAGGACAAAGTTGTGTCCATTTTGTTCAAACTTTAGAAAAAACATGATATTCAATATCATGAGATGTCACGCTCATAGTATGTGCAGCTAATACAATTTCAACTGAACTGTTTTATTCATCCAGTGGTACGGTACATGGAATATTTAGCTAACAGTGTTGACTCCAAAAGTTAATAAAGTTTAAAGCCAAGAATTTACACAAGGAGAAGCACTTGAATTGTGTGTTGTGAAATATTCTGAGCTACAACCACACCCAAACACAGCACAAGATCTGTGCTCAGAATATGTGCTGGGGATCACTCACAGCTACTACCACACCAAATTATAGGTCAATATATGTAAAACGGACAAAGTTATAATCATGGTTGTGTTTTTTTATAGATCACTTGGCTGTGGTGGCCATCTTGAATTGGTTTCACTCCAAGTTGTAGTTGTCAACCCACTGTTTACTTTCTGAAAGTTTCATTAAAATAGCCCAGTGGTTTATGAGATCTTTTGCAAACAAACATTACTTATATTTAAATCAAATGACAATACAAAGTGCCAACCTGCTCAAATAATAAAGGAGCCATTCCCTCTGAGCCACCAGCCAAAAGAGGACCCTCCCCTTTGCTTTAAAAGCTGTGGACGCACTCTTACCTCTGCTGAGACTTCACTTCACCATCACCATCATCATTCTGTGGGAGATTCATCTGTTGAACTTTGATATTTGATCAAACATTTTCTCTGAGGTTGTGATGACAGGACTGTGTATTAAAGCGTCAGCTCTGTGTCTGCTGCTGCAGCAGCTGGTGCTCACCATCACCGCTCAGGGTATCGGTAAGTCCTGCTCCAAATGTACCCACATGGAAAACTTTGTTCACTATGTTTCTGTGTGGCGTTTTGTGTTAAGCTTTGCTTTTTCTATTACAATATTTTCAGTCATCAGCTCTCCAAATGCAAACTGCATGACTGTTACTAAAAATGGCAGAATTTGACAGTTAAAACCTAATACCAAGCGGACCTAAATAAGGTGGTTAAACTAAAAACACAAACTGCCATTAAACTACAAATTAGCCTGGAATCTACATGCGGCTTTCCCCCCTCCTCCTTTAAAAACTGTCATTTGGTGTTATTCTTGAAGTCCAGCCTTTGTGAAGCAGGCACACACTTTTACAGCAGCTTCATAAAACCACAGCGGGATGCTGGTTTGAATGTCCTTTTATATGCATGCACGCAGTCGTGTTAAAGAGCTGCAGCACAGTGACTCAGCAGTAGTAATTGCACCATCACTGGGAGACAGAAGCCCTTTAAGTCCACCAGATGGACTGCATTTAGTTGGCGGTTTCCACTCTTTGAACTTACCTTGATCCTCCGTGTTTTATCCCTCATGTTTTTTTTTGTTTATGCTTAATGCATTTTTCTAACCGTTGCTTTCTGTGTTAGTCTACGACCTGCTGGTGTCTCCAGACTGCCTGCCGGATTTGCTCCAAGGAAGTCTGAAGAACAAAGGTCGGAATGAAGCCTTCCTCCTCTTGTCCTTCAGGCTCCAAAATAAGGCCCCCACCTCGCTCTTTAGTGTGATCAACCCCAAGGAGAACAACAAGTACCTGGAGCTTAGTGTGCAAGCCAAACTCAGCAAAGGTGTGTCATCATACCAACATGTATTTTTTACAGACTCGATGAATAAACACCTTTATTTATTATTTTCTTTCACTGTAATCATTCCCTCTCTGCATTTTAAGTGACTCTTCGTTACCAGAAGGCTGACGGCAGGTTCACTACCTCCAGTTTCAACCATGCGGCTCTGGCAGACGGACGGGAGCATCACATCATGCTGCACGCCAGCGGTCTTCAGCGTGGCTCCCCTCGTCTCAACGTCTACGTCGACTGTAGACTGGCTCACACTTTGAACGATCTGCCGGCTGCGTTTGGGTCACTCCCGCCTGGACCCAACAAGGTGGCCCTGAGGACCCTGCAGTCGAGTAGACAGGTGGATCAAAACGATTTCAGTCCCAAGAGTGATCCATTAATCGCACTTCGTTCTCATACTTTCTCTTTTCTCGTCTTTCAGGATGAACTGACAGACCTGAAGCTGGTCATCGAGGACACCATAGACAACGTGGCCACTCTGCAGGACTGCAGTGTTGAACCTGCTGAGTCTCTGCACCTGCTGGGTCAGTAGCAGCCTGACGACTTATCCTCGTCATTTCAACCTCCTTTTTCTCCAGTTAGATGTGCGTGTTGGTTTACTATCGTAAGGAGGATGACTGTTTTTGCTCGTGTTGTTTCTTGTGTTCGTATGTACAGTCTATGTGTTACCAAAATATCTCATGAACCAGCGAACATTTTAATGAAAATCTCCAAAAGTAATCACTGGATGCATATCTAGAACTGATTAACATTTGAAATCAACCTGGTTTAAGATGGCTGCCAGAGCCAATTGACCTTAAAACCACAAAAATGGCAATTACTCAGCCAATTTAGCAGCACATTAAACAATGTGATATTTTTAATGTTTGATCAAAATGGCTACAACTTCATGTTTCAACATAAGATGATTTTAGTCTTAAAATTTATAGGTGGCAGGAATCATTTTAGGCCTTTAATTTGACTCTGACTTCACTCAGATATCCAGGGAGGCAGGGTGGTGCAGGATCAGAGCACCATGCAGGAGCTGAAGAGCATGATGGCTGAGATGAAGGAGCTGCTCAACCAGCAGGTGACTGACAGCACACGAACTTCTGGATGGAGATAGAGAGCTCAGAACAAAAACTGGCAAAGCAGCATTAATGCTAAGATACAAAAGGCAAAAATGTAGCAAAATTTTTTGGGAAATAGTGTGAGCTGAAGGTTATTTTGCTCAAGTAAAGTAGTAAATAAATATGCATACTTTTTCAAAGCAGATTTACAACTTTATGAAATGGCCTTTTTTTCCAGAATGGTTTTGCAATAATGCAACATTTTGTTGTAAAAAAAGAAGAAAAAAAAAACTTGGTCTGTGACCTGCTAACTTTCAGGAGCTGTTTTCTGTCAAAGCTTTTACGTAACCTTAGCAGTGAGTGTTACCGCAGCACTGTCAAATATATTATTTTTACTGTAAAGAGCTCATTTCATGTTTATATTCTGGTTCCTTCTTTTACTTAGAAGTCAGCTAGATGATAGATACTAACAGTTCTCCAAATAGAAAATAATTTACTGATACAACATTGAACATTTCTGCACATCTGTGTAGGAAGCATATTTTTTGTTTTAGGGTTCCAACATTAGCCACTTGCTAAGCAAATGTGCTGCAGCCAATGAGACGTGCAAATGCATTCATCAGCTGGACAAAATAATGTCTAATATGTGGAGTTTAAGCTTTGTAACTTTGTAAAGCTTCATAACACGCTGATCCATTTAGAGCAAATGATTGACAGTTAAGGTTTTAGACAGGGAAGCGTGATGTTAAATGTATAAATATATTATTTTATATATATGTATATGTTTGTTGGATGGCTTTTTGAAAATTTCCTCATTCGTTCAGAAAGTTTCAGAATTGTTTTGTTTGTTTGTGTCTTTTCATTAACTGTAAAGAGACAACAACATTTTTGTGCTTTTTAATGTAGATTAAGGAAACAAATTTTCTAAGGAACACCATAGCAGAGTGTCTGGCCTGTGGTAAGCTGTAAAAAATAAAAAGCTGCATTACGACTTACAGTACAAAGACTTTAGCTCCTAAAGAGACATTTCAACATTTCTGTTTGCTACAGATGCACCCACCGGACTTGGAGGTAAACCCACCAACCCAAATCCAGCTCCAAGTCCTGATCAGATTATCTTTCAGCCTCAGCATCAGACTCAGTGCCCAGCAGGGACCTGCTTCAGACAGAACATGTGCATCCCTTCAGAGTCAGGGGGTTTCACATGCGCCCCCTGTCCTCATGGATTCACAGGGGATGGGGTTCACTGTGACGATGTCGACGAGGTGTGTCTCATACGTTTCAATGAGCGCTGCAGCTGGTAAATCAAAAAAGCTTTGGATAAATGTTTTACATCTTTTTGTCTGAGTTTTAGTGCAAGTTTAACCCGTGTTTTCCTGGTGTCCGGTGTGAAAACACTGCTCCTGGTTTTCTCTGTGAGAGATGCCCTCTGGGATACACAGGACCAGAGATAACTGGTGTCGGAGTGTCTTATGCTAAATCACACAAACAGGTCTGATTATTTCTGCTTGATTTAGCTGCTACTGCAGAAAATAAATCATTCACTGTGTTCATACTTTGATTTCGCCCCCCAGGTGTGTCTAGATTTGGACGAGTGTGTGGGCCCACCTGAGAATGGAGGCTGCACAGCTAACTCTCACTGCTACAACACTGTTGTAAGACGGCTGGAACTGGTGCAAATTTATTATTTTAATTCTTCACAGGCATGGATAGTCCTGACTGACTGCCTGTTGTCCTCAACAGGGTTCGTTCAGATGTGGAGAGTGTAAGACCGGCTTCACAGGTGACCAGGTAGGAGGTTGCCACGGCACCAGGCTTTGCCCTAATGGGCAGCCCAACCCCTGTGACATCAATGGTGTATGCATCGTGGAACGAGACGGCAGCATTAGCTGTGTGGTAGGAACACACAACAGGCATGAACATAGACACATTTCTCATGATGTTATGTTCCATCATTCAGCACAACGTTCTATAATGTTTTTTTAACTTTTTTCTTCTTTGGCGATGTTAGTGTGGCATTGGTTGGGCTGGCAATGGTTATGTCTGTGGGAAGGACACAGATATTGATGCATATCCTGACAATAACCTCCAGTGCACAGACAACATCTGTAACAAGGTACTCACTTCTACATCCCCTTCCTTCTCATACAACTCAAATTCGGAAAAAGTTTAGATGTTGTGTAAAATGCGAATAAAAACACGACGCAATGATTAGCAAATCTTATCAATCAACATTTTATTCCAAACTAAACATAGTAAACATATCAAATGTTTAAACTGAGGCACCATTTGTACCATTTGTTTGAGAAAAAATTAAGTAATTCTGAAGTTTATGGCAGCAACACATCTCCAAAAAGTTGGGGCAAGTTTATGTTTCCCATTGTGAAGCATCCTCTTTTTTAACTGGAGACTAGACATTCATGTCTGATGTGGGATCCCTTCTGATAACAGTCCTGGGTCTTTCCTTGGTGGAGTATTTCTTTCATGATGTGTCAAATATTTTGATGTTGTTACCCAGAGACAGTAACATCTCATGACATCAGAGGGACAGACTATTGAACTGCGTGCTGATAACTAGTGGTCGGATGGTTCCTCTCCTCTTTTGTATGAAGGATGTGGTGTTCGCGGTTCCAAACATAAATTTCAAAGTTTGATTCATCTGATCATTGAGCAGTTTTCCACTTTGCCTCAGTTTATTTTAGATGAAAATAACAGCGTTTCCCGAAGGTTTTCACACATGACTTCATTTTTGCATGATATAGCGTTAAGCAGCATTTGTGGATGCCACTGATTTGTGCAAGTGTCCATTCTCCTGAGTCCATGAGGTTCTGTCCATAACAGAAACAGGCCTGTTTTTACTGCAGTGCTGCCCGAAGATCACCAACATTCAACATGGAGTCCTGTCCTTTGAGCTCAGAGATTTCTCCCAATACTTGAACTTTTGTGATATTATGAACTGCAGATGATCGCATATTTGAAATCTTCACAATTTTCCATTCTGAAAAATTCTTATGAAATTGTTCCACTATTTTGAAACATTTTTTGTAGATTAGTGAACCTCTGCCCATCTTAATTCTGAGAGAATTCAGTCTCTATAAAATGCTCTTTTTATACCCAGTCCTTTTACTGACCTGGTGACAAATAAGTCAGTGAACAAGGCCAGGCTGATTCTGGCAGATCCCGATCACCCACTCCATGGTGAGTTCAGGTTGCTTCCATCTGGACACAGGTATCTGCTGCCCAGATGAAGGACAAACAGAATGAAAAACTCATTCATCCCTGTAGTGATCAGGCTTCTCAACGGACAGGGATGATTTCATGTACTGTTATTTTAATGTCTCCATGTCTTGCCGAGTATGGATGTTTTATATCTCTACTGACTGTGAAACAAATTGCCCCTTGGGGATAATAAAGATTATTGAACTTGAAATAGCCTAATTAATTGCAAATAATTCTCCAGTTGTTTTTATTTATGTACATATAATTTTACAGCTTTTTGTTGCTGCTTCTGCACTATTTTGAGATGTGTTGCTGCTATCAAATTCTGAACTACCCAATTTTTCCTTAAAAAAACAATTTCTTGTTTAAACATGTGATTTATTTACCAAGTTTCATTGTAAATAAAATGTGTGGTTTATGAGATTTACAAATCATTGTATTCTGTTTTTATTTACATAATGTCACAACTTTTCCAGAACTGGGGTTATGTATTTTATTCTCACTTGTATTAAAACACCATTATCTGTGTGTTTTTCGGTCTAATCCCCAGGACAACTGTGTGTTGGTGCCAAACTCTGGCCAAGAGGATGCAGATGGGGATGGGATGGGTGACATCTGTGACAATGATGCAGACAATGACGGCATTATTAACGAAGATGTGAGTGACTTAACCTTTGAACTTTGTCAACAGACGAGTACTTCTGTCAGTGAGCTCTGTATGTGTCTGCCCCAGGATAACTGCTGGATCGTCCCAAATGTTGACCAAAAGAACAGTGATAAGGATCTCCATGGTGACGCCTGTGACAACTGCAGGACGATGGATAACCCCTCACAGAGGGATACAGACCAAGATGGTCTGGGAGATGAATGTGATGATGACATGGATGGAGATGGTAAGTGCATTAATATTTACCTCAACTGATAAATCATCCAAGTGGAACGCAAGAAGACAGTAAAAAGTTTATTTAATTTTTTTTGTGCATGGTTACTTTGGGAAGCATAATAAATATGCTTTCACTGTTTCTGTTGTCTAAATCAGATCTGATAAACGGAGGAACACAATGCAAAATCAGTTTTCTGATTAAAATTAAAATAAAAATAAAAATTATATATATATATATAATGGGCTGTGGCTGAGTGGTTAGAGCAGTTGTCCTCCAATGCAAGAGTTGGGGGTTCGAATCCACCAGCAGTCACATGCTGAAGTGTCCATTGGCAAGACACTGAACCCCTCATAGCCTCCGATGTGTGTCCCATCAGTGTATGAATGTGATAAAGCACTGATTAGTCTCTTTAGAATGGTTTGTTCAATTAGCTTTGTAGAGATCTAGTAGAGTGCTGTATGAATGAATAAATGTGGCACAGATTGCATTGTTAAGCGTTTTGAGTATCTTGATTAGATAGAAAGGCGTTATATAAGTACAGTCCATTTACCATATATATATATATATATATATATATATATATATATATATATGTTTTTTTTTTTAACAGTTTGTAAAAGTGAGGGTTGTCCAAAGCATATCCTGTGTGGAAAGGACTGCTGTGGAGACACATGAGGACATGTCTTATTGTTGTAACTGTCTGGAAGCAGTTTACCTGTGCAAAACTCTCTCACTTTCTCTCTCTGTAAAAAAAAAAAAAAGGGGGGGGGGGGGGGGGGGCGTTGTAGACCTGTTTGCAATTTACCGGATTTTAGGACGTTATTTGATCATCACACAGTAATGAATGTTAAAATGTTCCACTTGCACTCAAATGTTTTCTTCAAACACTTTTCTCACGTACATCACTCGACTTGACCTTTACTCTGACCTTTGATTTGCTCCAGTAGAAAACTCCATCCTTTGTGTTTTCCCCTCATGTGTCGTGTGTCTTTAGCCTTCGTTTGGCAGCACTCCTGCACCATGATTGCTTGGTAATGCTTTCGACTCCAAGGTCGCATTTCTGGGGACTTGCTCACGTCTGCCTCCTCACTTAGAGCATTTTTCCACTCTGAGCCTCCGCCAGGCGTTCAAGGCCAACTGGAAACTATTTCGTCGGCGATTTAAACCAACTCCGCCATCTGCTGATGCTTTTGACTGAGCTACAGGCTGTGATCTGTTGTTTTTCATCTCCTTCTCAACTGTTTTTCCTCATGATTTAGAAATGACATCGTTTATGATTTCAGGTCTGAAAAATGTCCTTGACAACTGCCAGCAAGTCCCCAACGCAGACCAGAGGGACAGGGATAATGATGGCGTTGGGGACGCCTGTGACAGCTGTCCTGATCTGGCCAACCCCAACCAGGTATCAAACTGTGCTAATGTCAGAGCTTAAAAAAGCTTTCGATAAACTAACCAAAACAAAGGAAAATAATAAATACTGTACCTGTATGCTTCTTTTTCTCCATTTCAAATGTGTTAGGGTTGTTGTTGTTTTTTTTACTGTTCTTCTGTCCAAGTTTGTTCATCACTGGTTATTTTGTCTGCCTGCAGTCTGACTCAGATAATGATCTCGTAGGAGATACTTGTGACGACAACATAGACAGGTAGAGCCATCATGATCTGGAACTGTTTGTTTCCTATGTTGCCATGTTGTACTCATCCCACTTGTATTTTTTCTTTCTTATTCAGTGACGGTGACGGCCACCAGAACACAAAGGACAACTGTCCCACTGTCATCAACTCGTCTCAGCTGGACACTGACAAGGATGGAATGGTTCTTATATACATTTCTTGACTATTTTTAGTAGGGTTTGTTGATTAATTTGTCAGATAACTTTATTTAAGCCCATTCACGTTTTTTATTTATTTATTTTTTTTACAGGGAGATGAATGTGACAGCGATGATGATAATGACGGCATACCTGATGATGATGACAACTGTAGACTGGTCGCCAACCCAGACCAAAAGGACTCAGACAGTTCGTGTCACCTGTTTTTCTTCAGCTGTTTATGAAAAGTGAGCGCTTCGTCTGTGTTCATAACTCTGCATGGATGGATTTCAGTGGACAAAGTTGGAGACGCGTGCGAAGGGGACTTTGACAAAGACAACGTGATAGATAGGATTGACCACTGCCCGGAGAATGCTGAGGTCACACTGACTGACTTCAGAGCCTACCAGACCGTGGTGCTGGACCCAGAGGGAGAGTCACAGATAGACCCCAACTGGGTGGTACTCAACCAGGTAAAATTTCCATTATTGCTTATGTTTGTTATCAAAATATATTATGAACCACTGGACACATTTGAATAAAACTTGCACAAAGCAATTATTAGATGCACATCTACAACTGATTAACTTTTTGCAGTCAACTTTTATTATGGTTGGACTTTTTTTTAGAGTTAACAGGTGTGTTTGCTTCTGCAGCAAGTTGTAATAAATAAATGTCTTTTTCTGACAGGGTATGGAGATAGTTCAGACCATGAACTCTGATCCTGGCCTTGCTGTAGGTAAGTAAATAGACTGTCATCTGTGTGATCCGAATATATTTCCCCTCTTCATCCATGAGTCCTCTTGTCAGTACTGTGTGTTTCACTTTTAATTCTGTGTGTAATTCCCTTTTTATTTAACAAATCTGCTGTCGCTTGTCTCCAGTTGGTCCAGAATGCTGCTGCGAGTTCTTTTAACAGGAACTAATAGAAGGTCACACATTACACCAGTTTTATCTTCTCTTCATTGGCTACCTTTCAAATTTAGAATTACAGTAATTTTAAAATTTTATTCTAGAGTTTTAGAGCTTTAAATGAACAGGTCCTACATCACTGAAATGTTGATCCCTTATTCTTCAGCTCACACCCTTCTGTCTTCAGCGTTGAACCTCCTAAAGGTCCATTAGACCCAGTTTAAAACTTGGAGTGACCTATCCTTTCAGGCTGAAGCCCCCGGGCTGTAGAATGTCCTGCCCCTGTCTCATCATGTGACCGTCTATGTTGAGTCCTTTAAAAAGCAGCTTAAGACATTTTTATTCAGACAAGCTTTTAGTTAAAACTTTTACTTACTGTTTTGAATAGATGTTCTTACTGTTTTTATCAGCTGTTCTTACTGTTTTTATCAGCTGTTCTCACAGTTTTTATCAGCTGTTCTTACAGTTTTTATCAGCTGTTCTCCGTTTTTAATCAGCTGTTCTGTTTTTATCAGCTGTTCTCAGTTTTTATCAGCTGTTCTTACAGTTTTTATCAGCTGTTCTCACAGTTTTTATCAGCTGTTCTCACAGTTTTTATCAGCTGTTCTCACAGTTTTTATCAGCTGTTCTTACTGTTTT